CAACCAAAAACAYATTYCTTGTATTCATGAGCAGACACAGCCAATGAGTAATCTTTGAATGTCCTGTGGTAGCCATGTGGAGCTGCCTAACAAAACTGAAGCTCAGTCTGCAGCCGATCCYGCCCCACAGAGCACCTCTCCCATGAAGCATTTATGTGAAGACGTGCTGAAGTGGGAGTGTTGGAAACAGTAGGATGTTCTTAAAGAGACAGAGGCTAATTTCAAGGCCTTTTGATAGACTACGATATGAAAWCAAATTTATTGGTGATACAGRATTTTTAGAACAACTGAAGGTAACATAGTTACTTGATTGTGATACAAAATTGAACTGTGTACCTGCAAAATACATAACATCCCTCTTTAAGATTAGCAAATCATTACTTTCTGGTTTTGCTTGACATTTTCCACATATTCAAATGTCCCTCTTTTTCATAAATGGGGTTGTGCAAGTGATGACTCATGAGTCATGCTGTAAGTATGACATTATTTATCAGGTCATCCAGACCTGGGCGTTAAGATTCAATATTTTCTGGATTGTGATGACACAGGCGTTAGCTTCTGAAGTTAAGGTGACCCTCCAGGCAGAGCTTCATCCCAAAACCATGGCTCACATGGTTCCATCTCTTCCCTCTGATAGCCCCCGGATTTCACAGCCTTCTTATGCTGAAACAAACAGATAGTGTTATACTGCAGGATTTAARTGTGTGGATAAATGCAGAGGGGTTGCAGCTGGTCCCAGTGCTCCTCTCCCTCCTTCGCCTTTGAATAAATGACTCTGGGAATTTACACTCCTAAACACATCAAGTAATGTGAGCATTTACACAAAATGACCGAGTGTGTGTTCAGCTCGTGTGTAGGAGACACAAACGCTGACCTGCTGCCAGCTTGGTTTTTCTTAGAAGCAGGTTGAGCGCAGAAGATGTTGACATTTTTGCTGTGGAGAGAGGCGGCTGCTCCATCTGCATCTGAAAGGTCACTGCAGTGGGTTTCAGAGCGCAGTATGCATCTGTGTGTATATGTGTGTGTGTGTGTGTGTGTGTGTGTGTGTGTGTGTGTGTGTGTCACAGTGCCTGCCAAAAGCCGGGTATTTCATGTGTGTGTGCCTTTTTCTCATCAATTCAGTCTGAAAAGAGCAGAGAAGGGCTATAAGCAAAGACCCTGGAAGTGTTGGACGCAGCACAAGCAGAATGGAGG